ACCCTGAATAAGTACATATACATACACCCCGAGAAAACAATCGTACACGGATACTGCGAAAAAGAGATGTGTGTATGCACACCCATACCACCTTTTCGGCAACGCGTGAAGGCCCCAAAGTGCATATATATACTATCAGCAATCTACGATCGGCCGATTCATGAATAAAGTCGTGCGTATGCACCACCGAAGCTTTCCTTGAAGCCAAAGACGACGAGCTTCGTATGCAGGTATATACGTCGCATAATGCGAATCTTCGACGAGGGACAACGCAGGCCAAGCGTTTGTACATGTGCCTCGACATGTGCACGTAAGTGGGATCGACTTCTGCATTCGCGAGGCGCAATCGCCGCCAGACGACAGGAAGCATTAACGCGATTCGTGTTTTGCGTATTGAATTTATTGCCAGCCCCGGGTGTTGTCCTTCCCTGGAGGCGTCGATGTCACGGTTTGCTTTTGTTTGGCTCAACATTTTGGTTTACACGAATCTTGAATGATGCTTTGGGAGTTGAGGTAATGTTTATTCAAAGCTCACTATGTATATGCATATATATCGTGGTTTTTTTTACATTTATGCAGGATTTAAAGGGCACCGTCAAACCTCATTGTCAAACTCCACAATGACGGGGGGTCAGTTCTACACCAGAAAATTCTACACGTGAGTCAATTAGAATTCAACACAATCTCCTACAAATAATATTTAAAACTTTTCCATACTTGTAAGAATTTAGATTATAGTAAAATCTGTATTTTTACTCGTTAAAAAATTTTTCGTTGTTTTTTCAAGTATCTTACTATCCATAGGCTTAGGTTTCATGAGATCAATTTTATTTTTGAGAGGCTGGGAAATTTTATAGTCATCAAAAGTTTTGGCCGACTTTTAAATCTTTCAATATGCTTTCAAAGTCTTTCATAAACATTTGGAGACGCTTAGGGACTACATGTAACTTCAAATGACTTGAAAATTTTTTCAAGACTATTCCAGTCTTCTTTAACAATTGGAAGAGCGCATGAAACTCAGATAACGCGTTTAGATAAAGAAATGGGATTCACATAGAATTTTTATTACGTAATTTAATTAAATAGTGAGTTTTGGTGGTAATTCAGTAGTAAGTAGAAGTAAAGTTATTAGAAATTGAATCTTTCTCTTTGGAAATACAGAATTTTGAAGCCCCAACTAAAAATTAGTTCATCGACTATGCGGAACATTATTCTAATGCACCCAAATTTTAATACAAGCTTTAAAATTGCAAACTTTCAATGCGGATTCAAAATTTGCTCAAAGCACGATTTTAGTCTCTCTCATATATTTATAGAAATACGTGTGACTATGATAAAAAGTGAACGTAATACCCCAAATTCCCAATGATAGTCCTCAAGGTTATCCCATTGACCATAGATATATTAGCTATGTTCGAAAATGATGTGTTGCTCGGTTTTCAAGTTGGTACCTACCCCACTTTCACCGCTTCACCGATAACAGAGCGTGTTTTCGCACATGCAAACATAATTCATCAACTGATCAATTGTGTGGGATACTTCAAAATGCTCCAAAACAACTGATTAATCTATATGTTTACGTATGTGAACACGTACGCTCGGTGAGTTAAGAGCTGACTTAATCATCATTTCCAAATATCATTATCATCTCCAAATATCGGGGGAAAGCTGTCGAGGTCTCGTGTATATAAATATGCGCACACACAGGATACAACAAATGCATACGGCCGCAGAGAACACGATGATCTACTAATAGGAGGGATGTAGGCTTTCAAGCCTCTGTAAGAGCCTATAGACACACACCCACGAGTGAGAGCAAATACTGTGCACCCACATCCACATTTGTATTCGAGCCGTTATAACGGCAGATATTACCAAGGCTATGCCAGTGTTTCTAATAATTGCTCGCTAATTACCCGGAGGCTACTCCACCTTTTGCGACACTCCTTCAATGCTACGCGAAACATTTATCATACATGTACATACATACAGAGCCCTCGAGATTCCACCACCCCATTGTCTACTCTGCGCGCACGCAAAGCCTCCATGCACCATGAGATGACTTAGGCTCCGTCTCGTCCCTCTTGTTGATTTATTTTTTTTCTCAATGAACGAACATATGTGGCTTCAAATTTTTTTACCTTTGGATTTATGTAGGTGAGGGTAGTACCTAGGACATGATTTGTTGCAAGATTCAGTACTTACTGGCTCTCGTTCTCCCTCTCATGTGGGCCACATGTCGTGGTTACTTTTGCACATAAGGCTTTTTTAATGAAGGAACTATCGATGTCATGTTTATTTTTTATTTATTTAACGGAAAATATGTTTTATTGCGCTTGAGTCTTGAAAATCTTCTCGCATGAAATTCAACGTTATTTTTGAGCTACTTGTACATGCGTCCATGTCTTGTGAGATATGTTTTCCTAGTAGATTAAACGAAATGGGTCGGTGAAACAACGACAAAACCTCTCATTTACATGATGTACCGTTAAAATGGGCCTTTTGGCTAACTACTCGTGCACACCCGAGACAGTGGAGAGCCTGTCGCGTATGCAAACGTGTTCACAAGCTCATAGTACTTTTGGGGGTAATTTTGATCGCGATTATAGTAGATATTTGGTAGTTTTGATGTTGGGTAACTCTTAAAATGTCCGATCTCCTATGTAAATCTGGCACTATTTTATAAAGTATGGATTATTTGTGTGTAGAAATACTTTGTTTTTATTTTTAACGAATGTTTTGTGAGATGCGAATGTTGCTAATGTATGAACCTAACCAGTATAGTGTAGATTTCAAATTTCTCACACGTCATTTGAATTCACACTCCTTTGAAAGATTGACAACAATCAAATAAAAATCCAACAAAACTACGTCCCTCAGCTTTCACAAACAATTAAGTGCACGCACGCATCGTCGTTTTTTTTTATTTTTAAGAGTCATACAAAAGGACGAGCAAAACAAAACCCACGCGAGAAAGGGCTACGCACACATGTATATACTTTACCGAAATCGCTACTCAAAATCTACCCCGTGCCAATACATCGACCCACATCCAAGCCCCAACAATAATAACCGGCAGCTCCTTCGATATCCGAACAATACGCGGTGCTCATAAATATTTATTAACTCGGTGCTCACGCGGCGCGCCTCGATAAATTAAGACAAAAAAAAAAAAAAAAAAAAAAAAAAAAAAAAAAAAAAAAAAAAAANAAAAAAAAAAAAAAAAAAAAAAAAAAAAAAAAAGAAAAACGGACCAAGTAAGAGAAATGAAAATAAGGAACCACACAACGAAGCCTGTATAAACACATACCTTGTACACCACTCGAAGGAGTCTCGGGCGCGTTATTACCGGGCTCGCGTGTAACGCAGGAACACGCATGCGACGGGCCAATCATAAAGCATCGGAGAGACGGAAAAGGGAGATAAGCCGTCGATGTGCCCAGCTGAGATGAGGGGGAAGGAGAGAAACCCAGGGATGCACAAACATCGGGAGATGGTCCGAGATAGCGTGTCCGAAATTGCAAATAACAGAGACACGGAGAGAGAAAGAGAGAGAGAGAGAGAGAGCGATAAGAGCCCGATCCGCGACAAAATCGGAGGGGAGGGACTGATGGCACTTCCTCCTCCCGCGGGCGCCCGCTCAGTAGGCCATCGACGACACACCCGGGCTGGTGACGATCTTCTCGAAACACGAGCCTTACACGCCGGCCAATTTGTAATTAAAGAAACGGTACAGCCAAAGGATGCTCCTTCTAGATACCGATCGGGTGGCGTATGCGGCTTTCGTACGTGCATCGGTGATCGATTCGGGAGGATTCACTGTAGCTTCCATACACACAAACACACACACGTCCTGAATCGCTTACTGCATTTGTATGCGAGCAAGTGGTGATGGTCCAAGCGTAGGTGAGGCCAATTGTCTTGTACGAGTGTGGATCTGTGTACTTATGTTGTTTAGGCCACTCGATGAGTCAGGGTACCTTGCATTCCTGCAGGTGAATAGATATACGTGGGTCTGTACTTCTTTTGAAAAAAAGTGTGGATCTGATTAATAATTTCCTTGGTTCATCGTGAAAGGAGGAAAAAGCAGATGAGCCCACGTAAGTGATCGTTTGAAAAGTTTATACAACGCGAAACGATCGGTCACTCGTACTAAAGAAAAATGCTTCCATTGTGAAAAAAATTATACGTCCAATGTATACTCTTTCATACTTTTTTCTCTCGCATGAACCAAGGAAAGTGTTTCTTCTCGAGTTTATTCAACCAGGAAAGAGAAAAGTCAAGGGACACACAAAAGTACCCGTTTTACGTGCCAAGCTCATAAGTAGATGAGCTGGGTCGTCGTTTTGTAGGGTTCCTTTGACGAGCACGACTTTTTCGGAGAGGAGTGTGATGTATAGCGCGGAGGAAAATAAAGGAACCATAACGTCTTGGTTTTTATGTCCGGGCGTGTACTAATGGGTGTACCAAGAGGCTGCAATGGTCAGTTCTTCCAGTGTTTTATCGATTTTCTTTCGGGACAGTAACTGAGAAATGATGGTTATAAACTTACGTGTGACACAGATTAATTAACTCTGACTCGTAAGCATAATTGGGAGAATATTAGATCGTGATTTGGTTGATTGGAAAATGGAGAATGAATTTCGAATTTCTTTGCGATCGAAGGAAAACAACAGAATTAAAAATGAAAGTGTTTGCTGATTAATTCAAAAATGTATGTTCGAAGCAATAGAAAATCACGGTTTTCTTTGTTTTTTCCCGTATCTATGGAGTTCGGATAACAGCAGCAAAATTCATTTCAGTCCCAAAATCAACAGAGTCCGGATGGCGTAACCTCCTTCGTGAAATTTTCCGTCTTTTTCGATTCGCGTAGCAAAATTTCAAGTTCACTCCCGATGAAAGAAAATTACCTAGTGTTTTGAATATCCAGCCTTAAATAAATATCTAAATAAAGTAAAACATTGGAATTCGTATAAAAAGAAAAAAAAAATATAACAACAATGCCCTGCGACGGTAAGAACAAGTCCTGCCAGAAGAGGCGCGAGCTCCTGCACCAGCTAAAATGCCTTATCACCACGATGGAGCGCAAGTGAGTCCTTTGAAACACAAAAAAAAAAAAAAAAGAAAAAAAAAATCTCCAAAGCACTCAACGAAAATCCATTAAAATCCTTGAAAATAAAGAAAACCCTGCGAGTGGGACGAGGAGCCGTGCGGCATAACCAGCTGCCTCCCAAAGTGCCCGGCGATCTGCTACAAGCCGTTCACGTGCCAGCCCCCGGTCTGCAAGCCACCCTGCCCACCGCTCTGCCCACCCCTTTGCGAGCCACTCTGCCAGTTGACCTGCGAGCCCCTCTGCTCGCCCCCGTGCAAGCCCATCTGCCAACCACCCTGCAAGCAGATACTCTGCACACCGGCGTGCGGACCGGCCAGCCCCCCAGCTTGCAAGATGCTGTATTTGCCATCATGCCCGCCAAAGTGTCCGACACCCTGCACCGTCGTTTGCCTGCCCAAGTGCCCACCACCGTGTCCGCCACCGTGCCCGAAGCCTTGCCCACCTCCGTGTCCACCGCCATGCCAGCTAGTCTGCCCAGTGGCTTGTCCACCAAAGTGCCCACCTCCGTGCCAGATTATGTGTCCAGTGCCATGTCCACCACCCTGCCCGCCCAAGTGCCCACCTCCGTGTCCAAAACCCTGCCAAATCGTGTGTCCGGTGCCATGTCCACCCAGGTGCCCGCCACCGTGTCCATCGCCGTGTCCAAAACCCTGCCAAATCGTGTGTCCGGTGCCATGTCCACCCAGGTGCCCGCCACCGTGTCCATCGCCATGTCCACCTCCGTGCCAGATTGTGTGCCCGGTGTCATGTCCACCCAAGTGCCCGCCACCGTGTCCATCGCCATGTCCACCTCCGTGCCAGATTATGTGCCCGGTGTCATGTCCACCCAAGTGCCCGCCGCCGTGTCCATCGCCATGTCCACCTCCGTGCCAGGTTATGTGCCCGGTGTCATGTCCACCTCCGTGCCCGCCGAGGTGTCCACCTCCGTGCCCACCACCATGCCAGGTTTTGTGCCCGGTGTCATGTCCACCTCCCTGCCCGCCGAGGTGTCCACCTCCGTGCCCACCACCATGCCAGGTTTTGTGCCCGGTGTCATGTCCACCTCCCTGCCCGCCAAGGTGTCCACCTCCCTGCCCACCCAGGTGTCCACCTTCGTGCCCACCACCGTGTCCAGCTCCCTGCACCGTAATGTGCCCGCCACCGTGTAAAAAGCCGAGTTGTCCACCACCCTGCAAACCCAGGCTCTGCTACACGTCGTGTCCTCCCGAGCCGAAGCCCTGCTGCGTACGTATGGTCCAACCTAACCTCAAACATTATCCTCGGCTTTGTTTCGTTCATGAAAGACATTTCACGCAGATCCCCCTGAAAGCGTGCAAGAGCTTCGAGCTGCGGAGCAGTTTCATGCAAAAGTGCCACTGCATCAAGAGGAACGGCTTACAGGACAAGTGCCTCATGTCCGACTGCATGGGCTACCCGGAGTGCATGACCAAGCTGTTCCCGATCTGCGACCCCGGACAGTGTGCCCTCATGAAACTCAGCTACATGGGCGGGTCATAGGTGGATTGTTTTGTTCCTTCGTCCACGTCGTCCCGTGTGTTTTGTCTTGTTCCTGGATTTTTTTTTTTTTTTTTGAACAATAAAGCCATACTCTTTTGTACACTCTTCAAAACGGCCTTGGTCATACTCTGTTGCGCTAACCTCAAAATCAACACCACGTACAATCATTTTGAATTAAAAAAAAAAATTGAATAAATATCTCTGGGTAGCCGCGATTCTTGCAAATAAATCTCTCAAAAGTCCGGAGCGGAAGAAAGTAAGAAAGAAAGATCGGGGGGGCGATTACGGGCACAAGGTAGAAACAGGTTTTCCATGGCAAAAGTAAATAGTGATCTGCGCCCGGTATTCCGCGACTTCGTGATTTGGCCGCGTGCGCGCGGGGGTGCATTCAAAATATGCGGAAAAATATCTGCAGTACGCCGCTACTACCAATGTTGGGGTGACCCGAGCGCTTCCTCGCTACAGTCCTGGGATAGGCACGTGGAATCTTTCTCTCTAAGATTCTTTTGCTCGATTGCCCTTCAAACAGATTTCAAGCGCTTAGTACAGAAATTGTGACGACGCTAGTGCTAAATCAATTAAAAGCCCACAAAGGTACGTATAACCAAGAGCAGCCCGACGTTCCCCTCTCATCTCGGGCCTGCAGACAATGCCCCATCCGTCAATTTCTTGTGCAATCAAGCCCCGACGGAGTATCGAATGGCCAAGGCGCGACCGTACAGCCAACTTTGCAGACTTTACTCAATAAGTCGGGGCGACAGTGGAGCAGACGGACTCTGTCGCTATATTTACACGTCTCGGCGACTGTGGGTATATGTACCGGGTAAATGGAAACAACGGAGACGTAATCCGATCGCGCTCGCCGGAAATCAAAGTTTCCCTCGCTCACCAAGCCACGTCGATCCGTTGACTTCGGGAAGGACGGATGATAAAAACCAACGACCCAAGCGATGTACTAAAAAAAGGGGGGGGGGGGAGCTCCAAAAACCCCGAAAATGCAAATATGGTCAAAACAGCTGCAATAACTCTTTTAACGCGAGACGTTTCGAAACTCCTTTGGCGAGTACCGGGCACGGAAAAAAGGGGAGGGGGGTTGTTGGGGTACAACAATGCAATTTATTGATGTATCAATGACGGAGGAAAAGTGGCGAGACTCTTCCTGTCTGCGTACACGTATACACACCGACTTCCGCTCCCTCGAAGGGGTTGCTGCTGGCGCACCGAGAAAAAAAAGTACTTACCATGGCACGCGGGGGGGGGGGAGCCGACGAGCAGGTGGCGGAAAGGTAAATCTTGCACCGCGGGTCCTTGGTTGTGTACGACCTTATCGGCGGCCTTAATTAACGCCGGGGCTGTGTGCCGCATCGCGCGTCACCGGCGCATGAATTTATGAGGCACGAAGCGCGATTCACACCGCAGGTGTGTGCATATGTATATACACAAGTGCGAATATATACACGTTACAGAGAACTAGCTCTGGATTTGCAGTAAGTACATTGCACACACGTATACGTGTATATATACAGTATAGGTGAAGGAAGGGACGCGTTGACCCGTGGCCTATTGTATACAAATACACCCACCGAGCGAAGGGGGGGTTCAAGGGACGACCCTCTTTCGCTTCCTTTTGGCTCTTGTTGTTATTATTTATTTCCACTCTCGAGCCTTTAGAGTATATATATATTTGGTTTCTTACAGTATGTGCTGCTTGTAGGCAGGTAATATAAGGTATGCAATGCAAAGGAAAGTGCAGAAACGCGAAAACACGCCAACCCGGCGTCATCGCGATCGCGTTGGCGATGCAAATTTTCACGCGCCCTCTTTGTTATAAATACACGAGTATATATAAATGTATGTGTGGGTGTCGGTGCACGAGGCCAATAGGAATAATAGTGGCTGTGCAAAATCTCGAGTTGTGCACGTTGGGAAAGGAGAGAGATGATCTTGCTCGCCTGGGAGTTCGCGTGTGTGTCTGTGGATGTTTTGTATATATATATATATATATATATATATACTCGTGGATGTACAAACGCGTGTGCAAAAGCAAGATAGTCAAAGGGAGAAAGTGTATCAGCGCAAGATCTGTTATGAAATATTTATATGTAAATAGCAGAGAGGTGTACTATACAAGGCAGGGCGTCCGTGNTTACAGGATGCGCGCGTGTGTATTTTTCGAGGAGGGGAGGGCAAGGAAAAAAACACCGAGGCGAGAGCGCGATTATCAAAAGTCGGGGGGGGGGGCGAAAATTAAAAAACTCCGCGAGGGTTTGATATATATATATATATATATATACACACGAGCGAAGGTGCGAGAGATCGAATGAATGAATGAATAAGTAATTTTTGGAATATCGCAGATATGGAGGAACGGAGGCGCTACTTCGAGTGGGGCTCTTTTTCGGGAGATGGAATGGAAATTCCGGGATGAAAAATTGCTTCCGCGAACTCTTTGTGCTTTTGTTTTGGGAATTCTTTGGCTTCTCTCTTTGTGTGGTTGTGCACAATGTGTATCCGGATACCAGTGTTCCATACAAACTTGCACACCCTTAAGCCGTGGAAATGAATCGCTTTTACAAGGTGTTGATTTAAAGTTGAACATTGGTCCACCTGTGTGTGTGTGTGTTATCAATTACGAAAAATGACGAAATTTCTGTTGCTCCCAATTATTGTGGTGCCATTTTCTTGGCTTTTATGAAATAATTGGCGTTTCTCAACTTGGCGTGTAGAGTATTTGTTGGCTCTTGGACGCCCACCTATGAAATCCCTCACTATGAGTCACTGTTACTCACTTTATGAGTATGTTCATACGTTATTATGGGACATATCACACAACAGATATGCGACTAATCTTCTTGGCATCTAAACCTTTCGAAAGACAGCAGATGACTCTATACCCATAATAAAATGCTGATGTCATTAGGATTGGCATTACCAAATGGTGATGGGTAGAATATCCTAGCCATTTTGGTCTCGTAAGGTAATAGTACCAGTACGTTTACCCCTTATCAAATTGTAACAGTAGGTTGGACAGCTTGAACACAACAATTTTCACCTTGAACGAAATGGTTTGGAAGGAAAAATTATTCATCCGAGCAAATTGTACAAAATGGATTGTGATGTTGTTCGAGTAATAAAGCCATTTGGTTTTGCCTATTACCCAGTACTTGAATACCCATGAAAAATCATTCAAATCATTATTGATCAATAGTCGTGCTATATGTCAGACAGAAATAAAAACTTTGATAATATCTGACAAACGATATTCAAAACAATTGAAAGTGAATAAAATTTATTTAACATATTCTCCATCGTATTTAATCACCAAGGAATATGCGAGGACTCGGCGTGAAAAATGCGTATTGGTACTCATACTTGAACATGCTGCTCGTCTACTGGGTTGTTGTAAAAAAAATACTTTGAAATTAATTTAGTAGCTTCCTCGTCTTTTTTATTGATAGGAAAAAATATAAACTCACTGGTGCAACTTATTACGTAGTGAGGAAATTTATTAAACATAAAAATTTATGGCCAGTGCATGATGTACATCGATTGGCGGGAACAAAAAAAGTAACGCCTCCTCGGTAAAGTTCTCGCGAATATTTCACACCATGTGCACACGTAACGAGTGGTCGTTCAGCCACACAATGGTATAAACTTGAAATCCCGCAACGGCGAAACAGCGAATTCGAAAAACTCCCGGGAGATCTCGCGCGAACAAATCATCCGCCCTCGCATCCCCGATTGTATGATAAATCCCCGCATAAATCACGCCGGAGTGATAAATCACCTTGCCAATCAAAATCGGTTAATACAACCGGTCCCCTAAGCCATGTTCGGCAGCAGAAAACACACGACACCCCATATAACTCCGCAATAATTGCACACTTTTGTTTCTCACCTCGTAAAACGATCCCCACACGTATAGAACATATTATATTCGCCGATGGGTGTGCGCGTGTGTACATAAATACACGAGCGAGCGACAGAAAGCTCGGGAATGACGAATGAATCGCGAATAATAAACATCAAAACGTGCCCACAATTTCGAGTTTCCCCATCACCAATAGTATTGTACACTTAATCGCGATAAATCTCGTGTGCACACACAAGGTATATATTATACAGAAGTCTCTTGTTTAATCCTGACGTATCGGTCATTGTGCTCGCCCATCATAGGTTGATCGGGAAAACATTTTTTGCCGCTAATCACCTTATGGAATGAAACAATGAACACGGATCGCTATGTACTCGCTCCGGTGATCTAGTTTACCAAAGATGCAACGGGCACTGGCTCTGACCTCGAAAAATCGGTAAAGTGCATAATATATACACGGGGACGTCACGCAGCGCGAGCCCGACATAAAGAAGGAGGCAAAAAAATCCCTAAACGAATTAACGAACTCGCGCGTGCATATATTTATACACGCGGCAGTAGCACACCCCGAGGCGGCGATTAAGACGTGCGAGTCAAAAGCGAGGGTGGGAGGGGGTGGGGGGCATTAAGTGACGTTTTACGAGGGCTCTCGCGTCCGCGCGTAACCCAAAGGCGTGTAAAACCCCATTAGAGCAGCACTTCCGGCCCTGTTCTCTTTTCCCTCTCGCCGGACGGTCTATATATACATGTGTGTACGTGTCAGGGGAGGTGGGGCTGCTCTTCCTCTTCCTTCGAGCGCGTGCTCGTAATTAAAGTCGCGGCGCACATATTATTGCTGATAATCGCCGACACGATCTTCTTTCTTTCGCGCTCTGTACCCTATGTGCGTGTACGTACCCATATGCAGGTACTCTCTTCGTCTTCTACTATGTGTATGTATGTGTGTGTTCATGAATGCATGTGCTAAGCTCTGCTGTTGCATGTAGGTACATATATATGGTGCAGGTAACACACAACCGGACGCGCTGATATATCACGGTGCTCGCGTCTACCGCCGATATATTGTACACCCAGTGGCGGTGTGCATGCAACTGTATGCGTTTATTCATTGTGTGTTGTATGTAGG